GCTGCGGAACCGGTCAGGCCTGACTCGGCGTCCTCACTGGCCGCATCCTAAGCGGTCGGGGACGAGGCCGCACGTCCCTGGGACAAGGGGCGAGTTAGGGGGGCGGCCCTACACTCCACCATTGACACGGAAGTGGGTTCCTCTCCGGTACGTCGTCCGCGCCGGAACTTGCGTAACCTTTTGTGCAACCTAATTGGCTAAGAGGAGCGTGAGTGGGCCTATCAAGAAGAGCCAGGGGGCGGGCTCGAGCTGCCCATTGGCCGAAGGCTCTTCACTCGGGCTGCAGGCGGACGGAGCGGAGGAAGCGGCCGCGAGGCGTGCAACCTGCGGGAGGGATGGAGGCGGTGGCCGGTGAGTCTGCGGGCGCCGCGGGGAGCGGGAAGAGACCGGCCCGCAGCTGTTGGTCGCGACCCTGGGTGTTTAGCGAACCGTCTTATGTGCAATGTAAGGGCCACGGAGACGCACGTGTACTTATGAGTGTAACGTCCTCAAGTTGCAAGTGTTCGTGTAAGTGCCGCGCTGCTCGGGAGCGTGAAGTCAGGGGATCTCGGAGCACGTGCGCTGTCTGCCGTTAAAAATACAATACTGCCGGTTATGCCATCGTTTTTTGATTTGGTGATACCCCAAGAAAACAGGAAGAAGTCGTTTGAATGTGGGGTTCTAAAAAGACACCGGAACATCACATGCTTTTAGTTATTTGTGGAAGTTTTATTTGAGCTTTCCACACCTTAATATTTGAAAAAATAAAAGTTCTGTTGGACGGATACAAGCGCGTATCATAGATTTGCACAGATTAACCAAAGTCGGTTTTCATAACTAAGGGGGTTGCCACGTTATCTTTTAAAAGGCCTCCGGTCTGGTACCTTGGGCACCAAGTTCTAATAGCTCAATTCATCCACCGGATTGTAAACAACACTAGAGGAAAAAATCTGAAGCGAGTTTTTATTTTTTTTTATTTTTTTATTTTTTTGTTTAAATATATTTTATTGATTTCCTACAGAGAGGAAGGGAGAGAGATAGAGAGTCAGAAACATCGATGAGAGAGAAACATCAATCAGCTGCCTCCTGCACACTATCCTCTGGGGATGTGCCCGCAACCCAGGTACATGCCCTTGACCGGAATCGAACCTGGGACCTTTCAGTCCGCAGGCCGACGCTCTATCCACTGAGCCAAACCGGTTTCGGCTGAAGCGAGTTTTTAGAATAAGGGCAGCTTTGCTACAAGGTAAGATCTAGATTGATCAATTTTTAAAAGAGTTAGCTGCTTTTATAACCAGGAGGAAATGCAGGTAAAAATCCAAAAGGTCGAACCTGGGTATGCCCGGAGGCCTGGCCTGTAATTTGTATCTTTCTAGAAAGATGCCTTATGTAGGAAGAGTGACAGGCTTGTCCAGTGTATCGAATAATCGTCGTCATTGGTTGGGCTTAAGAATGAAGCTGACCCTGACTTACCCGGAAAGGTGCTCCTCACTCTCTTCTGAGGGGAGATACAGCTTTTCTTGCCTCTTCCAGCACAGCCTCTCACACCTCGTAGGCCCTCACATCCAGGTGAATGCACTGGGTTGATGGTCTGTTTATAAACTCTTCAGCTTGCTTAGGGGTGAAAGGTTCTGTGGTTAACCGCTAAGGATCGCAGTCTGAGAAGTTCGGCTCCATCCGGTTAGCTGATGAGTGCCCTGTCTGGACTCAGATAAAATTCCCCACTCCCCCCAGTGAGGAAAGTAGTCTAGTGATTAGGAGCTTGGCTAAACCAGGATCCCGACCTGAACCCTTCCCTCCACCCCAGCAAAAGTGGACTCCCAAATACCTTTTGATGTTAAAACAATTTCAGTAATTAACCTTTTAAAAAATTCCTCATCCAAGGATATTTTTCCTTTCATTTTTTAGAGAGTGGTAGGGACGGGGGGGGGGGGGGGGGGGGGTGTGGAGGGGGAGAACCACCATCCATTGATTTTTAGAGAGAGTTGAAGGGAAGGGAAGAAACACAGAGAGAGAAACATCAATGTGAGAGACACATTGATTGGCTGCCTCCTCACGTGCCCTGACCCTGGCTGGGGATTGAGCCAGCAACTGAGGTACAAGCCCTTGACCCTTAGGTCTGAGGACCAACATTCTAACTACTGTTCTAACTACTGAACCAAACCGGCCGGGGCTAAGTAATTCACCTTTTAAATTGCTGCAGGGGTGACCTGAAGCCAGGGTCTGGGGCTTCGTGTTTGCAGGCAGTGATCCCCACCCGGGATGCCCCAGCCCTAGGTGCTGGGAGCGGATCTGGGAAGGCACTTGAATGCATGGGTGACAAGGACCTGCCCGACAGCCAGGGTAGGCGCCCTCTGTGTGCCTCCTGGGGAGGCTTTGGAGAAGTGCTGATTGTTGAGCCCCGTCTGGGTGTGGGGCGGGTGGAGAGAGCCCCTGCGGGAAGCAGGGCGAGGTCCTGAGGGTGCTGTAGCGAGAACAGGGGGTCACTGCTGGGGGGCTGAGGGCTGTGTGTGCAGGGCACAGGGGTTAGTTGGTGAATATTTATTTGGTGACATTTGGGGCTCGTTTTAGGAAGAGGAGCTGGAGCTGGGTCAGAGTGGCTGGCGGCCGACAGGGGTCCACAGAGACAGCTCTGGTCTCAGGACCTGTGTGGGAGTCACAGGATGCCCCTGCCCTGTGTACTAGGGTTTCTTAAGGCTGGGCTGGCAGCCAGGGGACATTGACATTCACACACACACACCCCCATGATTGCAGCTGCCCTGGGTCCCCAGAGCTGTAAGGGTCCCTCCTGAGACCTGGAGGCCAAGGCTGCCTTGAGTGCTGCTCTGACTCCAGAGGAGCGGGCTGGGTGCCTGGAGATCAGACCTGGGCCCTAGGAGCGGGGTGGGAGCTGCCCGAGCACAGAGGTGTCATGGCTGTAACCACCCAGCTTGCCTTGGTCTCCATTGGAGTCACCGGGAGCCAGCATGCTTTGGTTTATTGCCTGTGTGTGTGCACTTACACATGTGCACACTAGGAAGAGGAGCAGTGTGGGCCATTTTAGGCAAGAGTGGGAGCAGCAGCATTGGAGGAGCCCAGGGGTCGGGCCTGGGGCCTTGGGATGAAGGGGCAGGTCTAGGACACAGGAGGTGCCCGGTGACCGGTGAGCGAGCGGTGACGGGCGTCTGTGTGAAGGGCCGCCTCACTGACTGGCATCCCTCTGAGCAGAGCCTGGAAACCTGGCTGGCGTCCGGCACATCGTCCTCATCCTCTCGGGAAAGGGGGGCGTCGGGAAAAGCACCATCTCCACCGAGCTGGCCCTGGCCCTGCGTCACGTAGGCAAGAAGGTGAGCGCCTGCTGCCCTCAGCCACAGCGCCTGTCCCCTCCTGAGCCCCCCTGCCCCTTCCCTTCTGGGGGGACACACGGGGAAGCCATCCTTTCTTCCTGCCTGGGGAGACCCCTACATGCCATGCTGACAGCCTGGCTCCTTGCAGGTGGGGATCCTCGATGTGGACCTGTGCGGCCCCAGCATCCCCCGCATGCTCCGGGCACAGGGCAGGGCCGTGCACCAGTGTGACAGTGGCTGGGTGCCCGTCTTCGTGGACCAGGAGCAGAAGGTCTCCCTCATGTCTGTGGGTTTCCTGCTGGAGAAGCCGGACGAAGCAGTGGTGTGGAGAGGCCCCAAGAAGAACGGTAATGACCAGGCAGGGGACCGCACTGTCAGCCTTCCAGCCTCCCTCCGCGCTCAATTAAAAAGCCGAACAAGAGCCCTAGCTGGTTTTGCTCAGTGGATAGAGCATCAGTCTACGGACTGAAGGGTCCTAGGTTCGATTCCCGTCCAGGGCGAATGCCCAGATTGCGGGCTCGATCCCCAGCAGGGGGCGTGCAGGGGGAAGCCCATCAATGATTCTCATCATTGACATTTCTATCTCTCCCTCTCCCTTCTTCTTTGAAATCAATAAAAATATATTTTTAAAAATCTGCTTAAAAAAAAAAAAAAGGCAGAACAAGAGCCTGGAGCTCCTGGCCTCCCCCACCCCACGGGCCTCCTGCTGCTCACGTGACCAGTCATGCCTGGGCATGGTGGTGGTGTCCACATGGCAGGTGCGGGCCATGAGAGCGAGACAGCTGTGTGGCTGTCGGCTGTGAAGTCCCCTTTCCCTTGGCAGGAAGGGCGGGTATGCTCAGACCTGAGCCCACCCTGTGTGTGTTGGCTGTGGGAGAAGGGGCACCAAGATGGGGCTCCGGTGCCTCAGCACCAGCAGGTGGCATAAGCCCCCTAGTGAGGCTGCAAGGTATATTGGGGGGAGGGTGGGGGCTGCTCCACTCAGGTCATCTCTCGGGCTGTGAAACCTGAGGTGTCCCCAAGGCTGGGCACAGGTGCCCCAGGGGGGTCTGAGCAGAAGTCTTGCAGAGTAGGGTGGCCCAGCAGCTGGGAAGAAGGCGGTGCTTGTGGGGGACAGGGACAGAGGTGCCTCCCTGCTGCACTGTGCATCCCCCCACATTCTGAGGAGCAGCGTGGAGGCGGTGGGTGTGGGAGACCCCTTTTGAGACCCCAGCCACCTGACTTCCCTGGGTCTTCGCAGCTCTGATAAAGCAGTTTGTGTCTGACGTCGCCTGGGGACAGCTGGACTACCTGGTTGTGGACACGCCCCCAGGAACCTCTGATGAGCACATGGCTGCCGTGGAAGCCCTCCGACCCTACAGCCCCCTGGGGGCTATCGTGGTCACTACGCCCCAGGTACTGCAGAGCATGGCCCCATTTCCCAGTGTGCCACCTCCTCCCTGCTCTGTATGCTCTTGGTCGAGTGTTCCGGATTCCCATTGGCCTGTTCTGGCTTCTCCCCGGTCCCCAGGCGGTGTCTGTGGGGGACGTGAGGCGGGAGCTGACCTTCTGCAGGAAGACAGGGCTGCGCGTGATCGGCGTCGTGGAGAACATGAGCGGCTTTGTCTGCCCACACTGCACCGTAAGTCGTGGGGAGTTGTGGCCGATTACCCGTGTGGGTTGTAGGGGGGGGGCAGGGGGAGAAGATGCTGTGCCCCCATCCTGCTCCCTGGCCTGGACCCCACTCCCTGAGTGCAGAGTCCTCAGGTGGACCCTGCGCCTCTGTCCTAGGAGTGCACCAACGTCTTCTCCAGGGGAGGCGGTGAGGAGCTGGCCAGACACGCCGGAGTCCCCTTCCTAGGTGAGCGGGTCAGGGCCCCCCTTGGCCTCTGTTCCGGGTGGTCCCACCTGCCTGTGCCCACTGCCCATGGTGGGGGAGGAGGACAGTAGCCGTGTCCCCCTGTCCTCCTTGAGTTGCAGGTATCAATTCATGTCTAATGCTGATCACTGCTGACCAGCTGGAAAGAAACGGCCTGAGGGAAAGGCGTACCCCCAGG